CACAACATCCCACGCACGAAGGCATCTGCGCGAGTCTCTGAAGCCAGAATACATAAGCGCTTATTCACAGGTGAGTACACGCTAAAGCGCGCGACGCTAACGGACGTACGGCTGGGTATGGAGCTCTTTGCCTTCGACTGCAGAGACTTCGGACTGACCAACAACATTGTGAAGACGACGATTAGATAGCAAGCAGCACCATCTGATGCTTACAACCACCCTAGCATATGTGTGAATAGACATTATGGGCTTGTCACGTGTGCGAATAACACTCCATTTTTTCCGAACACCCCTTCCCTGTTTGATCAGAGCACCTTCGAATGAATACTACTTCAACTTTTAAACATATAAATATTATTCCACGTCACCTATGTCATTGGAATGAGGGGAACGTGATTAGTGTTCGTGCACTATAATTTTTAAAATGACTGGCACTGAGCAGACATATAAAGGGCACGCTCGTGAAGGTGCTTGCAACTCCCCTAATTTACTGGTTCAAACAGCACAAAACTTAAAAACTAGATAGCACTCACAAGAAAGGCAGAAACGGCGGATATGCATTTGGATAAGGTCAAACTGTTCTTCGGAGAATCCCTGATCCCTTTCCAGAGTCTCCATCACGTCCGTCTACAAATTGCCAAATGGTAATAAGAAATCGGGTGGTGAATGAACAACCTAGACCGACTTTCGATAAGCTAAATTTAAATCCACAATACAGATTGTGCCAGACGAATATTATTAATAATGAAAACTTTTTCGACAAAATATGAAAAATTTCATGGCAAATGGATCAATTACAAGACCACTTGGGTGCGACTAAAAGAGGAACACTCGGGCGCAGGTAATACTTAATCTGCTGTTAGCTAAAGTAATTTTAGTTTTCGACAGTAAAGATTGAACGTCTGTGATGCACCAAGATAGGGAACCTTGAGATAAATACTTAGTCAAGTTGACTTCTTTGTTTAAACACTAGGCCGGTACACATGTTTGGCTATGCCAAACCAGCGCTCGCTGAAAAAGAACCAGGATCTCTGCATCAAGTACTAAGATGAAA